AGGGTTACTGTTTCAGCCTGGGTTCTGGAGCTGTTTCGTGGAGGTCTACTCGGTCCTCCTCTGTTGCGACTTCTACCGCAGAGGCCGAGATCTACGCTGGGGCCCTTGCTGCTCAGGAGCTACGCTGGTTGACCTTTTTGCTCATTGACCTTGGTGAGCGGCCGAGCTCTGCACCGACCCTGTTTGCTGACAACAGGGCGATGATTCTCCTGTGTCGTGAGCCTCGACTGGAGAGCCGAGTGAAGCACATCGACGTCAGGTACTTCCTCCTTCGAGAGTTGCAGAGACGCGGACAGGCTCGTCTGGACTTTGTGGCCTCCGAGGCCAACACTGCAGACATCTTCACCAAGGCCCTCCAGCCTTGTGACCACCGTCGGTTTTGTCTGCAGTTAGGCCTCGTTGAGACTGGGTCTAGTTGACTGCTATAGGGTGCTCTTTGTCTGTTGCTTGCTTGTACCTTATATATATATATTTGTTTGCACACTTTAGGACTGGCCTTGTGGCCCTTTGCTTGTGCTCAGATTAGGTGGTGACGTTGTGATCCACCCTGAGCTTTGTTTTCTGTCTCTTGTTTTTGACTGGTCTTGTGACCGTAGGTTGCTTGTTGTTGATTGGCCTTCCCCACTTAGGCTATGGGGGTGTGTCAAATATTATAGCCTGTAGTGGGTTGGGCTATATGGGGTACAACTAGTTAGGGTTAGGTGATGTACCCCAATTCTGTCAACACAACGCATTCCGCTGTAGTTCTCATTCTGACAACTTTCTATCAGGTTTGTGCGAATTTGGGTGCAGGGGTTGAGCATCTTGTGTACAGATATCTGTGTCAAAGACAGCAACAAGAAGACCGAGGCCGCATGCTACTGTACACCAAGAAGACAGTCCACATTATTTACATTGATACAGTAATCTGGAGAGTGATAATGGACAGTGACAGAATAACCACTGAACTGAACATCGGATCAGAAATCCATCATGAGACTGCACCGGGAATTGTGAGCAAACCCGTAATTTAGACACTAGTAGTGAGAACTTCCCTCCCTCTTGTTCATCTATGAAACGGCCTCTTTCTTTGCATGAGGTGTTGTTCATATGGTGTATGTGACAGCGTGAAACGCGCTGAGGTCGACTCTTGAAACCGTTTGCCGATTTGACTTTCCAGCGAGCATAAGTGGAGATGTTCACACTTCCAACGACTTCTAGAGTGGCGCGACTACCACTGCTTTGAAGCTTCCACCATAGATCTATGCTTCCTAGATACTTTCCATCTAGACCTCGAGGCTTCCAGGCGTTTAGACATTCAACCTTCCAGCCTTCCAGGCCATGGTGGCCTGGAAACCTCCTCTCTCCAGATCCGTGATGAGCCGCGCGATCGTCAGCCTGAAAAAGAAACGTGATTCCTGGTTTCGACCGAACATGGCTTGCGCTACCAATCCATGGCGGATCGGCTACAGCCGCGCCGCGATCCAGATATTCCTGATAGCGTTTTTCGCGCTGAACGCCGTTCTCGCTTGTCTCTACGCGACGGGGTTTTTTACGAGCGAATCACTGGAGAAGCAAAAGGAGGAGATCGTGCATCTATGGCAGTCATGCATCTACAACCGCTTCGCGCACATCCATAGATTTCAACACCCCTTCCTCCGCCCCGAGCCGTGTTCCGAACTCACTATGGCCGCCGCGAAACGCGGAGAAGCAGGCTTGAAACGAGTGCGATACTCGAGAGTCCCTGGTTACTACCACCCGGATATTGTCGACGGGTGTGCTTCTAGCGAAAGATCGACGGATTCGACGGATTTTTCTGGAAGATCGACGGAGGGTTGTCAGCTCGAGTGGGTAGTGTACTCCACAGAGTGCGGAGTGAATCTGAACCGTCTAGCTAAGCTCTGCCACGTGGCAGGAATCCCGCTAGCCGTGGTCGGGCTGAAGACGATGTGGAGGGGATTCGGTGGCAGGCTCAGGATTTTCAGGGACTATCTGCATTCCTTACCGGCTGACAGGATAGTAATTGTCTCCGACGCTGATGACGTGTTCGTACTGCCAGCTCAGCACTGCCGTCCGGTTGACATCATCCATAAGTTTCTGGATCTGGGTTCGCCGATGGTTTTCGGCTCGGAAAAATACTGCTTTCCTGATTGGTGGCTCTATCAAGATTTGTACCCGAAGCCGTCCCGAGATACCCCTTTTAAATACGTGAATGCTGGCACGTATATGGGCTTCACATGGGCTATCGCGAGCGCCATTGACGCTGCTTACATAGGGGATTGCCTGGACGACCAACGGCAATTCATGCTCGTCTTCCTCGGGCAGGACAAACTTTTCAAAGGCCTGCCCCGTGCTCCGACCCCATTCACCCACGGCCAAAAATTCTCCCGCGTGAAGAAACCTCCACGGGTCACTCCTTCCCTGGTCCTACCATCCCCTCCATCCGCTACAGAAGATTCAGCTGCTCGCTCTTCTCTCTCCTCCTCCCTTTCTTCAATCTCTCCCAATTTAAACGCCAGCAATACTCCTCGGTTTATCCAGCTGGATTATTTCAATTCCATTTTCCACCTGCTGGGAGGGTTTGGAGCAGAGGCGTTGGAGATAGGGGGGGACGGGAGAGGCGGGAGGAGGGAGATGCGGGTGCGGTCAAGGTTTACAGGTGGTGAGGCGTGCGTGTTTCACCAGCAGGGAAACAAGACGGGTGATCTGGCCATGTTCGATGTGTTCAACGTTACAGGGATGGAGGTGCTGTTTGATTGAACTGCGGGAGGGGTTGGAGGAGGGAGATGCATGTGCGGTCAAAGTTTACAGTTGGTGAGGCGTGTGTGTTTCATCAGCAGGGGAACAAGGCGGGGGAATTGGCCATGTTTGATGTGTTCAACGTTACAGGGATGGAGGTGCTGTTTGATTGAGCTCCGGGAGGGGTGGGAGGAGGGTGATGCTCATACGATTGATGTTCACAGGCGGTGAAGCACGTGTGTTTCATCAGCAGGGGAACAGGCGGGCAATTTGGCCATGTTTGATGTGATTAACATTCCAGGGGTGGAGGTGCTGTTTGATTGAACGCTGACTGTTTGGTTGACCGTGTTGTCGACTGTATGCGTTGAATGGGCAGGTACAAGCATTAGATACCGTAGGCACAGTACAGTGTAGTACTGCTTTGGGTGTGCAGGGGTGGGCAGGCACAGTTCATGAATGGGTGTGCAGCTTTGAGTGGGCAGGGCTCTGTTTCTCCTTTGACTGCCACACATGATGTCTGCTGCTGCAGGCTCAGAGGTACTGCTGGGGCGATCAATGGCAACACATAGATATTGTTTTTGCGTATCTAGTTACGGTATGTTTTCTCTAATTTGAGTCATGTCATGGATGCCTTCTTGTAAATGCCAGGTGAATGCAAGTGCAGAATACAGGTACCCGTATGATTTCCTTGTGTATGCTTTGTAATGCTCATGACAAATCCTGGCTGCATCAGGGTTTGGTTCTTTCCAGTCAGCAATACTTTATTTCCCAGTGTGCATGCGAAACACTACTGCTCCTCTGGTCAAACACTGACCCCCATTGCTATCAGCCATACCGACAAACAGATTTTACAGATGGCATACGGTACAAACATGCAACATTCAAGCAATCACTGCCAAAACCGGCTGGTCAGCAGAGCTCGCCAAGAGCCAAAACTGTAGAGGCACAAACTCCGTGCCTCATCCACCACCACCACATGCAGTTATGTGCCGCTTACACCGCTGCTACCTCTGTCTTCAACCATCCACACATGTAGCACACACACATGTCACACCCACTGCTGCCTGCCTGTCGTGTCCCTCCAGCTCCATTGCACCGCCGTCAGCCTCAGCCATGCCTCTTCCTTCATCCGTGCACATGCATCTCGCACATGCATCTCACACATGCATCTCACACATGCATCTCACACATGCATCTCACACATGCATCTCACACATGCATCTCACACATGCATCTCACACATGCATCTCACACATGCATCTCACACATGCATCTCACACATGCATCTCACACATGCATCTCGCACATGCATCTCGCACATGCATCTCACACATGCATCTCGCACATGCATCTCACACATGCATCTCGCATATGCATCTCACACATGCATCTCACACATGCATCTCACTCACACATGCATCTCACACATGCATCTCACACATGCATCTCACACATGCATCTCAAACAGCGCCTGTTCCTTCCCACACACACATACCTCCAACCTGCCCTTTTACTTCATGCGCTGCTGCCTGTCATGTGCCTCAAAAACCACTGCTTCCAGTCTCTGTCGCACCTGATCCATCATGTGAGCATACATATTGCACAGAACACACTGATGCTGCCTCCTTCCTGCACCCCCTTACTTCATGCGCCGCTGCCTGTCATGTGCCTCAAAAACCGCTGCTTCCAATCTCTGCCGCACCTGCTCCATCATATGAGCATACATGCGCCTTGTCTCCTCACTCCCCACCGCCCTCACATTCTCAATCCTCCTCCTCAACGCTCCTGCCTCCGCCTTCCTGTCTGCCTCCACCTTCGTCTCTACCTCCCTCCCCTCCTCCCTCACTTCCTCATTCACAATCCTTCCTTCTCCTGCGCTGTCTCCAGCTCTCGTCTCCAATCTATGGTCAATTCCTTCTCGTTCTGACCGTAACCCACGCTGCATCAGCTCCTGTAACCGCTGAGTCAGCACCTCGGGCGAGTGGATAAGAGCGTCAGCGCCAAATGTCGGCTGCTGGGGCCGCCACGTGGGATCGAGGGGGTAGGCAGGCGAAGCGGCTGTTGTTTGCCTTTCTTGTTGGCAATCGGGGGAAAAGGTAGCTGGGTCGGAAGCAGCATTGCTGGTGTGTCTGCTGTCACTCATACTTCTACTGCTGCTGCTGGAGGTGTCACTGTCACTGCAGCCATCATCAGTGCTGCTACTGCTGCTGCTGGTGCTGTGAGCAGAGGCGGAAGTATCAAGCCGAACGGCCTGCTTGGCTTGCTGGCGCAGGGAGGGGAGGTCAAAGGAGAAGGGCTCGCCCACCACCACGCTCACACGCTGGTTCCACAGCGGAATCAACGGCCGCTTGTTGTTGCGGTAGTTCTGCGGGAGGATCTGCAGCATTGATGAGGGGTAAGGGCCATGTGGGATGGACGAAAGAGGGGAGGTCAAAGGAGAAGGGCTCGCCCACCACCACGCTCACTCGCTGGTTCCACAGCGGAATCAACGGCCGCTTGGTGTTGCGGTAGCTCTGAGGGAGAATCTGCATGCAGGGGAGTGAGGGGAGAGACGTAGTTGTTGCAGAGACGAAAAGAGTTTTGCAGCCATAAAGCTCGCCCACCAACACCACCACGCTCACACACACGCTGGTTCCCTGGCAGGATCAACGGGCACTTGCTGTTGCGGTAGTTCTGAGGGAGAATCTCCATGCCGGAGGGGAGGGGAGCGAAGTGGCGATTCGAGAAGTGTTAGAAAGGGAAGAGGCTCGCCCATTGACCACCACGCCCACACACACCACAACGCTGGTTCCACAATGGAGGATCAACGGTCACTTGTTGTTGCCCTCACTCGCATCGACTCAAAAGCACGCTCACACACGTTACAATGCGAGCCGTTCCACAATGGGGGATCAACGGTCGCTTGCTTGTTGTTGCGCATTGGAATTACCCGTGAGCGACACCTTTCCTCCGTGCACTCTCACCCGATCCAAGCCGCCCCGCCGTGCTCCACACCACCACACAGATGAGGGACGGCACAACGCAGACCGCATTTAACAGTCATGCAATTGCAATACCCTCACCTGCTCTCCCCCTCATGGCACACCCACCCACTTGATGCCGCTGTGTCCCACGCTGAGGAGGATGGACAGGGGCAGCGAGGGGCACAGGCGGTCCAGTAGATTCGAGTCACGTGGGGTATGGACAAACCCCCCTTTTTCGCCTTTCCCCATTGCACACCCACCCACTTGATGCCGCTGCGTCCCACGCAGAGGAGGATGGACAGGGGCAGCGAGGGGCACAGGCGGTCCAGCAGACTGAAGGGTCAAGTGGCGTGCAGACCAGCAGGCACGCCCCCATCCGGCCTTCTCCACACACACACACACACTCACCCCCTTTCCTCAACACACACATACCTTCTTCCCCCCCTACCCTACCCACCCCCTTCTTCAACACGAAATCACACCTTCTTTCAACTCACCCGCTCAAGGCCGCTGTGCCCCACGCAGAGTAGAATGGGCGGGGGCAGCGAGGGGAGAGGCGGTCCAGCCCAGCAGACTGGCGAGTCAAGTGGGACGTTGATCAGCCCCCCCCCCCCCCCCCCCCCCCCCCCCCAACACCATCCCGCCGCCTTTCTCCATAACGCACTCACCCGCTCCAAGCCGCTGTGCCCCACACAGAGCAGGATGGGGGGGGGCAGCGAGGGGCAGAGGCGGTCCAGCAGACAACATTAGAATCACCCAGCGACTTGTTGCTCTGTGCACACTCACCCGCTCAAGGCCGCTGTGCCCCACACAGAGCAGGATGGGCGGGGGCAGCGAGGGGCAGAGGCGGTCCAGCAGACTGGCGAGGCCCCACTTGAGGCGCGGGAGGGGGCCGTGCTGCTGTATGATTCTCGCCTCTGGGAAGATGTTGAGCTGTAAACGAAGGGGAAGGGGAGAAGGGGAGGAAAAAGAGTATAAGGCTACTCCAGTTAACCACTTGAGGAGTGGCAGGGGGCCGTGCTGCTGAACTGAATGATGCGCGTCTCTGGGAAGATGTTGAGCTGCCGTGGAGGGGTGGGAAAGGTGGGGGAGGAAGGTTCTGTTGGAACTAGACGTGATTTGATTTGACTTCTGAGGCGGATTAAGCTAGTAAGGTGCTGAATGACGCGTGCCGCTGGGAAGAGGCTGAGCTGCGAATGAAGGGGTTCCAAGGGCACTTCATGGCATAGCATATTGTAGCATCGTGTAATACCACATTCACTCCATACTCCTCTTACACCCACTTGACCCGCCTTCAATACATACCCTTTTTTTGTACAACAGGCGGACTCATTTTGATGTCGTTGCAAACAAAATTGTCGAAGATGTCAAACCGGTGTAGCTGCAGGATTTACCCAGCCGCCCAGGTCTATTTGTAAAAGCTACCCTGCCACCCAGATGTACGTGCGAAACTTACCCAGTCGCCCTGCTGTAACCGCAGCAGCGCCTCGTCCATGCCTGGCTGGAACACTCCTTGGTTGCGCGTTATCGGAATGCTCTTGCCTGCCACGGAGACATGTGTCAGGGCGACATGTGTCAAGGCGACATGTGTCAGGGCGACATGTGTGAGAGCGACATGTGTGAGAGCGACATGTGTGAGAGCGACATGTGTGAGAGCGACATGTGTCAGAGCAACATGTGTCAGAGCGACATGTGTCAGAGCGCTTGAGACGAGTCGAATCAAAAGGCGAAACCAAGTACTTAATGAATGTTATCCGATGAAATGAGAGTAAATGACTGATTCTGAAGATTTACGCATCAAGGATCAGGAGGGAATGATTGAAATCACCGATGCGGAAGACGCAGGGAGGGAATGTCGTACCTATCCTGAAGATGTAGGAGTCGAGGAGGATGCCAGTGAAGCAAATCTCCGAGGCAGTGAGCGTCCAGCGACCTTTGAAGCGCCTCAGAAGTGAAACTCACGAGCCGAGGATCAGAAGGGCGGGAATCAGAAGAGGGGATGTCGTACCGATGCGGAAGATGTAGGAGTCGAGGAGGCCGGTGAAGCAGATCTCCGAGGCAGTGAGCGTCCAGCGGCACAGCTTGGGGTCTCTTATGCGCAGGCCCCTCTGCCCGCCCCACAGCAGCGGATCGTCTATCCTGCGGACGGGCAGGCGAAGCATGGGGTGGGTGAGTGAAAGGCAGAGCATGGGGAGGGTGAGTGAAAGGCAGAGCATGAGGTTGCAGGGAATATCGAGGGATCCGTGATGCGCAGCCCCCCCTGCTCGCCCCACAGCAGCGTGTCTCGTGTTTCTCTATCCTGCAGGCAGGTGGGTAAGATATGGGATGGGTGGGTGACAGGCAAAGCAAGGGGAGAAATGAGGGATTTGCGCGGGGTGCAGGTGAGTTGAGGGGTGCAGGAAAGGCAGGAATGTGCGAACAAGGGAAAACAAGAGACATGTGGAGGACACAAGACGGTGACAGATCAAACCAAGAGAGACACGTGGAGGGCACACGATGGAGACGAATCAAACCAACCCCCCCAAGTGAGAGAAAAGAGAGGGGTTGGGGAAGTGGGCGAGGAGAGGGGCGTGGACGGGAGGTGCGGGAGAGCGGGAGAGCGGGGGAGCGGAAAAGCGGGAGAGCGGGAGAGCGGGAGATCGCGAGCGGCGGGTGCGCGGGTGAGCGGGTTGGAGCCAATCGTACGTTGCCATGTGGTTGCTGACGGTGATGAGCGGCGTGCCAGCTGGCCGAGAGTTTACGAGATCCAGCAGCGTCTGCTGATTGGTCACCTCCATGCGATTCAGGACGTTCATGTAAAAGTACGACATCGAGCTAATTGTTGCTATCGCCACGCGCCTCGGAATGCCGAACAGGTGCGACGCCTCCGCGGGAGGCGCCAAGGCTTCGGAGATCCAGGAACTCGCGCCGCGCCGGCCTTGCGTAGCTGCCGCCGCCGCTGCTCGAGCCGCGGCCGACGCGGCTGCGGAGACGAGCGGCTTGGAAGCTCGCACGCCGTTGCTCATGGTCGCTGCGCTTCGACGTCTCTTCGATCGTCGGTTCGTGAATACGCGCTTCCCGTTTAAACGTTCATCCTGGAAAGGTCAGGCGTTCGTTTTACGCTATAAAATCAGAACGTGACATTTACATCGGACTGCCTCAGGTGATTGGATGTACACAGGTGAAGATTCGGTATAGCGTAACGCGGGGAAGTAATAACTCCGAAAGCTTCCAATCCGTGAGGCTCCTCAGCAGCACATCAATTCTTGCGCCATTCCGTTAGAGATCGAAACACGATCTAAAGCGCGAGACCAGGGCTTCACCTCTTCGCTGCCAGGATGACGGCAGGCACTGAGATCAAAAGATATGCCGTGAGAGAACGTAGGTTCCGACCGAGGAGGGACGCGGCTGGGATGAGAAGCTTTCAACTGTTACTTCTGCTCCCTCCATATAACTCCGCTTCAGTCATAAGGGCGTGTTACATTTTCTAGCAGCGGCTAAAATCCGGACAGCCGTCCGAGAACGGTTCAGATTCCGAATCTCGGGCAGTCCGGGTCCAACGTCCAGACTAAACCTCGTCCGACGTTGTTTATGAAACATTTTCAACCTGACGAAATTCAGAGTATTCGCTAGGTTGCAACCATGATCACGACGAGATTTCGATAAGGGTAACACTCAAGGGACTGAAAGACTCTAATCGTAGACCAATAAAAATGCTTACTGTTACGCCCGTCCACTTATCGAACTGTATTCGTCTGGTCGAGCTGGGAAGGCAATTCACGCAAAATGCTCCATCATCGGTCCGATCGTTAACAACGTCGCAAGTGGTCTAGCGAGGAAACTGACGAAGGTATACGACAACGGTAACCGCTAAAAAGTCCGGACGACTGCTCATCCGGACGGGCTGAAGTAAAAAATGTAACACGCCTTTAGTTGGCAATACCGAGGTCTGTGTTTTGGTGGTGGGATGGCCCGATAACACCAAGAGCGAGAATCAGCCAATCAGGAAAAAACATCTGGAATCTAATAGAGAAACTTGGCCCATACAGGTTTCGAACCTGTGACCTTCGCGTTATTAGCACGACGCTCTAACCAACTGAGCTAATGGGCCAGTATATGCTTATTAAAACTATGTTATTATTTTCACTAATTTTTGCACACGTGTGTCTATCGGCTCCTCCACATTCTAACAGCTTTCCAACGTCAGCAATCTTGCAGATGTGCGCGTATCGTAGCCGTTAACGACGACGTGCCAGGTACCGTCCGATCTAGGGTAGCGACTTTCCCGCAAGCTCCTGTCACCAACTTTTTCTCCGCTCCATTCCCTCTTTCCAAGTTCTGCTGTTAGCAGCCGCGGCCAAAAGGATTTCCGAGGGGGGAGCAGGTAAGGGGATGAGGACGGATGGGAAAGACGGCAAGGACGGCAAGGACGGGGAGCATGGCGAACACTCGAGAACGCATTCGATGAAGAAGAAGATGGGATCGGTGCTCGGATGGGCGGCCAGGATTCTCCCGCAGTCCACCAGCGGCGGCAAGGGGCTCGGCGCGGAGCGGCGGAGCGAGAGCGAGGTGGAGCGGCGCGTGGTGGAGGCGCTGCGGCGGCGGAGAGAGGAGGAGGAAGCTTCCGGGAAGAAGCGCATCGTGCATTTCAATACGCTGGTGATGAAATTTGCCAAGTCGGACGAGGCGTTCAAGCAAATCCGCAAGCAGTTCGACCAGTACGGTGCGCGCTCCCAGCCGCATTCTCGAAGGATTAGATTCTAGGACAATCAGAGTATAGGAGAGCTAGACTTTTGGAGGACGTAATTCTAGGAGGTTATGTTCCCACGATTTAGGTCCCACAATTTCTGTCCCACGATTCACGTAGTTCCACGATTGGGAGCCTAATCTTTCGCCTTTGTAGTTCCACACCTGCCGCTGCAACGCTCCGCAGACGCATTGAGTTTGCAGCCGCGCTGAGTGTGAAAGATTGCTCTTCCCTCCCTTCTCTCTCCCCCCCCCTTCTCTCTCCCCCCCCTTCTCTCTCCCCCCCCTTCTCTCTCCCCCCCCCTCTCTGACTTTTGAGTCGACTCAAAAGTCACCTAGATTGCTCTTCCCTCCCTTCTCTCTCCCCCCTCCCCCTCTTCCCCGCTTTCCCCTTTCCCCCTCCGAGCAGACAATGACGCAAGCCAGTCGATTGATCTGGAGGAGCTGCGAGCCGGCACTTATCCCCCACCAGCTCCCACCAACCTCCAACCCCCATCAACCCCCACCATCCCCCTCCAACTCCCTCCAACCCTTCCCCCCTCCATCACCGCCCTCCTTCCCCTACAACAGACAAGGACGCGAGCCAGTCGATTGATCTGCACGAGCTGCGGACGTGTCTGGCGGCGCTGGGCGTGCGGATAGAGGAGGAGGTGATGCAGCTGTACCGCGAGGCCGACATGGATGGACTGCTGCTGTCCTCCCCCCCCCTCCCCTCAACAGACAAGGACTCCAGCCAATCAATCAATTGACCTGGAGGAGCTGCGGACGTGTTCCCCTTTTTCCCCCGTCCCCCACCGTGTCCCCCACTACCCCCCCCCCCCCCTCCCTTCAACAGACAAGGACGCGAGCCAATCAATTGACCTGGAGGAGCTTCGAACGTGCCTATCAGCGCTGGGCGTGCAGATAGAGGAGGAGGAGGTGATGCAGCTGTACCGCGAGGCTGACATGGACTGCTGTGATGGCGTGCACTTCAAAGAGTTCATTCTGCTGCTCGCGCTGCTCTACCTGCTGCAACCCAACGTACGTGTGGCTGTGGGTGTTATACGCATGTGTAGCTGTTGGGGTTGAACGTACGTTTAGCAGCCGTGGAAGGAAGTGCGAGTTGGGTATTAGGTGGGACCAAGGGCCTATGTGGGTATGGCTCGCCGCTGCACCGCGAGGCTGACATGGACTGCTGTGATGGCGTGCACTTCAAAGAGTTCATTCTGCTGCTCGCGCTGCTCTACCTGCTGCAACCCAACGTACGTGCTGTGTTGGACATGCGTTAGAGGTATTTGCGTCTGCTCTCTCTCTCTCAAATGCCTCGGAATCGGGACTGGAAATGACTTGTGCGCGTGATGGCGTGCACTTCAAGGCGTTCGTTCATCCTGCTGCTCGCGCTGCTCTATCTCCTGCAACCCAACGTACGTGCGGGTTGTTGTTAGGCGCAATGTGTTGCTTCCGGAGACTGCTGTTCTCACCCCGTATGCTCACCTCTTATGTTCCGTTGGTGCTTCCTTCTTTCACCAGGCACACTTTGGTCTGCCAGAGGTGGAGGAGGCGTTTGAGCTGATAGCGGACGCGTTCAACTTCTTTAATGCACAGGGAGACCTTCCTCCCTTACTCCCCTCATACACTCCCGCCACATGCTCGCTTGTTGCTTCCCCTGCAGGCGCACTTCGGTACACCAGAGGTGGAGGACGCGTTCGGGCTGATAGCAGACGCGTTCAACTTCTTTGACACCACGGGGGAGGGCTTTCTCACACAGGCCAAGGTGCAGGCCGCCATGACCACTGGCAGGGACTCCTCCCCCAGCCGCATCGCTGGGCAGAGATTTGGTAAGAAGAGAGGCTGGGGACCTGGGGTATGTGTGTGGGTGGGTGGGTGGGTGGGGACATTGAGACAATAGGGCAAGGCCGGTGGGCTTTCTCTTGCAGGCCAAGGTGCAGACCAAGGTGCAGGCCGCCATGAGCAGCGGCAGAGACTCCTCCCCCAGCCGCATCGCTGGGCAGAGATTCGGTGAGTGCTGGGGGGAGTGGGTGAGAGAAATGGGCCGGAAGAGAGAGTGGTGGAAAATGGTTGGGGCATGAAGGATTTCTCACTCAAGCCAAGGTGCAGGCCGCCATGTGCAGCGGCAAAGTCTCCCCGCCCAGCCGCATCGCCAGGCAGAGATTCGGTGAGGGAGTAGGGTCACACAACCCTGGGCTGTAAGGGAGTAGGTTCTCACAGGGAACAGCTTCCTGGCGCAGGCCAAGGTACAGCACACCATGAGCAGCGGTCAGCACTCCTCCCCAGGGCAGAGACGTGTGAGCGCTGGGGATGGTGTGGGTGAGAGAGGAGAGGGTGAGAGAAATGCTACAGAGGGGAGGGTGCAAGGAGGGCGTGCGAGGAGGGTGTGCAAGGAGAGGGTTGGGTTTTGAGCTCTGAGATGGGATTCAACTGGACAGGCAGTATCTGTCAATGCGTTCTTGTTTGCCTATCTCTCTGTTTCCTTCGCTCTCGTTCTCGTTTGATTCTCCCTTTCACAACTCGATCAATCACACCCTCATCACCATTATCTCATGTAGCAGCTGCATCAGGAGGAGCACCACCAGCAGCAGCAGCAGAAGACATCTCCCTACCACCACCAGCACATCTACTGTTCCTGCTGTCCCACACCCACGGAATGAGTGCACTCTATGGGTGTGGGACAGGAGAATAGTAGATGTGCTGCTGGTGGTGGTAGCGAAACGTCTTCTACTGCTGCTGGTGCAGGTGCTTCTCCTGATGGTGTTGTCCTCCGAGATGGACTACAACGCGGACGGGCAGTGCACGATCAAGGGATTCCTGCTTGCCTGTCTCTCTGCCTCCCTTCCTGATTGCCTGTCTCTCTGCCTCCCTTCCTGATTGCCTGTCTCTCTGCCTCCCTTCCTGATTGCCTGTCTCTCTGCCTCCCTTCCTGATTGCCTGTCTCTCTGCCTCCCTTCCTGCTTGCCTGTCTCTCTGCCTCCCTTCCTGCTTGCCTGTCTCTCTGCCTCCCTTCCTGATTGCCTGTCTCTCTGCCTCCCTTACTCTCATTCTCTCTCACATGCACACGCTTTCTCTCCCTCACACTCGCTCACCCCGGGTTACCAGCCAAGATGGACTACAACCCGGACGGGCAGTGCACGTTCTCTCGTTTCCTCCCTATATCTGTCTCGCTCGCAATCTTACGCACCCACGCGCCATCCGGGATGGACTACAACACGGACGGGCAGTGCACATTCAAGGAGTTCCTGTTCGCCCATTCCTCTCCGTCTTTCTGTTTACCTTGCTCCCTCACTTCCTTACGCACATTCGCTCCTGATTCACCAGCTGAGATGGATCAACTCTTCACCAGCTGGGTTGATGGATTCACTCTTACACATTCTCACCCTCCCCCTGACCCACCTGCAGCTGAGATGGACTACAACACGGACGGGCAGTGCACGTTCAAGGAGTTCCTGTTCGCCTGTCTCTCTGCCTCTTTTACTGTCTCCCTTACCCTCCTTCCTCTTTACCTCTTTCCCTTATCACTTCCTTGCGCACATTCACTCACGTTCCACCAGCGGAGATGGACTACAACACGGACGGGCAGTGCACGTTCAAGGAGTTCCTGTTCGCGTATGTGGGGTGGGTGGGCACTGCGGAGGAGGAGGAGGACGAGGAGGAAGAGGAGAAGGAGGAGGAACGTAGCAAAACCCCTAAAACCCCAAAGACGCCCAAGTCCCCCAGCAAGTCTCCTAAGTCTCCCAAGTCGCCCCGCACTCCCAGGCATTCGGGGGGGCATAGATGAGGGAGAGAAGATGGAGTGTGAGAATCAGTGAGAGGAGACCATGGGACGAGAATGAGGTGGGAGGGTTTATTGCACAGGGGATGTGGCACACATGTTCCTCTCTGCACCTCTTGGCATCACTCTCCACCACTCTCTACCACTCTAGTGTCACTCAGGGGGGTTGCAGCGGCTGCTAATGCAACGGGTAGGAAGGCGAGAAACTCCTGCCGAGAGATCAATGGAGGAGAGAAGCTGACTAGCAGCAGCAGGATCTCCAGCAGCAGGGGGATGGCGGGGAAAATGGCGTGGTTTAGAGTGTGCATGTGCTGCCGTGGGAGCAAACAGGCAGTTGGTGGTGGAAATGGAAAAGCAGCGGGATGGCTGGCAACAGCAGAATGGCTGGCGAAATGCCGTGATTTGTAGGGCTTGATGTGCTGCCTCGGGAGCAAGTTGAGCAGCGAGGAGACGCAGGGCAGGCATGAGTTATTACCTTGTAGGGCTTGACACCAGGAGACGAGGGGGGGGGAAAGCGCATTGCTGTCCTCCTCTTGACAAGGCTTGTGAGGTTGGGAAGGGGGGCTGGGGAGGGGGGGAGAGTGTAGAGGAAAATATTGGCCGAGTCTGTGGAAGTGGTTTGATGACTCTCAAGGGGTGTGCTGGATCAGCAAAAGGGAGCAGATGTTCGGTGAAGGACGGTGAAGGGTGGTGAAGGACAGTGAAGTGAGGAATTGTGAGGGAGACACGCTGTGCTTTGGTGTGACAGTCACCTAGTGCCATGCACAATTCTGTGTGCGGGGCGGCATTCAGGCGGTGTTTTCGAGAATCTAAAAATACAGTGGCATGCCATGCACAATTGTGTGTGAGCAGCATTTTTTTTTCTCGTAAAATTCCATTATTTTGATGGTAGGGGTTGTTTGTTTGATGCCAAACTTCTTTACAAGTGATAAGGTGGTTGAGCACATTCACACGGTATAATAACCTGTATCATCTTCATCATTCCCACCCCTTCCATACATGTAAGGAAAATCACTTTCCTTACTTCGCATCCCTGCTTAATGCGTACATCACTGTAGCGCCTCAGTCAGCACCGTTACCACTCGCGATCCTCGCATCGACAATCACCCCGCCATTTTCGCACATCGCACCCCAACCTCACGGCTCGGCTGGTAACCCGCGCTCCGGGCCTCCGCTTCGACATTTTCCAAACAGGGCTCTTGCTAGGATCTGAGGGCGTCTGATTCTGTCAGACAGGTCCCCCAGGCAAAACAATTGTTTTGTCTGATCTAGATTGGAAAATCAGATGGATATAAAAAAATTAGTCTGAAAATCAGACCATCAGACCAAAATGGTCTGATAACGAGAGCCCTGTTTCCAAACCTCAATCCCAGGCTCGTCGCGCGACAACCACAGTCCATTACCGTTACCACTGTAGTTTCGATATATATTCTTCGCTCATGCCTTCGCTCATTGTATTCTTGCTTAGATAGTGCAATTCTCGTTCGTTCACTCAATTGCACTCGTAACACTTGGTATTCAGATCCTACGATCTCATCTCGGACCTCATCCACACCTTCGCTTCCCCACTATCTCAATTTTTTTGGGGGGGTAGACGTCTCTTAGCGATACAGCACCGCCGCTCGTAGTGCTCTCTCGTAAGCACGCTCGGCCACGACCGAGGCTCTCGCTGAGCTTGCCCGACACCCCCGCCATGGCCGATTTCACGCTCGCCACATTAACGCAGGAGCAGATTGATCGTCTCGTGCGTCAGCTGGAAGATTCGGCGCTCGAAATCGCGACGCTCACGGCGGAACGTGACTCCGCCCGTCAACAGTCCACGGTGAACATTCCGGCGACATCACACGCACCAACAAATGCATCTGCACAATCGGACGAGCCGATCATCATCGCGTCCGGCACACCAACACAACACGACAGCATGGGACAACGCTCAGGCGCAGCCAGTGACGGCGCCGCCCAGCCGATGCCTGGCATGGGAGGAGGCAGGATCGCACCAAGCCCGCGGGAGCCCCGGGAAGCCCGTCGGCACGTGGAATTTGCGGCGATAAGTGGCGAACAGGCCATCATAGCACCAATGCCGCTCAAGCCGCAACGCCCACCCTGCTTCGACCCAAGCCAACGCGGAGGTCCGACGGTTCAATCGTGGGTCTTCACGATGAACGTCTTCTTCGACGCCAACTACGTCGAGTCGGACGCCACGAAGATCCGGTATGCAGTTTCGCTGCTAAGGGGCCCCGCCATGGATTGGTGGCGAGTCATCGTGACGTCGCCACGCGCCTACGAACCACCGTCGCACGAGGAAGGGCCCACGGGTCCAGCTGTCACCTGGAGTTCGTTCTGCGAGACCGCCCAATACAACACGTGGGATGCGTGGTGCGCAGGGCTTCGGGCACGCTTCGAGCCGATCGCGGCTTCGATTTCAGTGCGTCAGAGATTGTGCACTTGGCGCCAGCTCGGGTCGGTTCAAGATTATACAAGCGGTTTTCTCGCACTTTGCGAGCAGGTCGGTTACATGCACGAAGCGGAGCGGGTGGACCGTTACGTCGGAGGGCTGAAGCCGGATATCTCGCACGAAATAATGCTGCGCGGACTCTCTAACTTCAACGAGATTCTCGCGCTCGCCGAGAAAATCGATATCCTACGCCGACCGAGACCGGGGTCCTACTACGGACATCGCCCTCGGGGACCGACCGAGCACGCCACTGTACACGCCGTTGCAACGAATGCAGCTGCTGCACCGTTTAAGGGGCGCTGCTTTGCTTGCAACAGGCCGGGCCATCGCAAGAGCGAATGCCCAGAGGAGCTGAGGCGCTGCGGAGCAGAGCAGGGGAGGGAGTCTCAGAGGCAGGGAAACGCCAGCAGTCAGTAGAAGTTGGGCCAACTACTGACGAGACTGCCTGCTCGCCCAACCACACCGACCCTCACCGAGTCACAGTACCGATTCACGCCATCGATCGGGCTCGGATGAATAAGGAGGGTACAGCGGCGGATTGCCCAGTACTGATCTACGGGAAAATACAGGGAGCAGCAGTAAAGATTTTTATTGACGGGGGAGCAAGTCACAGTTTAGTTAATACCGCGACCGCACGGAAACTGCAGTTAATACTTAACCGTTGCTTACCTGAGATAGACGCACGCTTAGTCGACGGCACGCCACTGGCCATACGGGAAATGGTGGAGCAAGTAAAAGTCTGCTGCGGGGGTAACTTCGGGTTTACACAGGAAATGCTCGCAACGACACTGGATGGGCACGACATCTTATTGGGACGTGATTGGCTGCGACGGTATAACCCGCGAATCAACTGGACGACGGGTAGCTGCACCGTGCGAAGTAGTGGTAACTGGGTCGAATTACCTCGCTGGCAGTCGCCCGAGTCTTCAACGGTCCACGTCAACGCCATCACGATGAAACGGGTTGTCGCCACGGGAGCTGACGTGTACGCAGTAGATATAGAATTAGTAGGAGAAGAGGAGCAGCCGAGCGATTTTCAGAAACTGTTGGCAGCAGTACCGCCCGAACTTCAGGAACTGTTGAAACGGTACTCGGGGATTTTTCCAGACGACTTACCGCAAGGGCTGCCACCTCAGCGGGCACATGACCATAGGATCGAGTTAGAACCGGGGGCACAGCCAACTGTACAGCGCCAGTTCAGACTGACACAGCCCGAGCTCGACAAACTAAGGAAGCAGTTAGATTATCTGTTAGAGAAGCAATTTATCCGACCGAGCTCGTCACCGTTCGCCGCACCGATACTGTTCACACCGAAAAAAGACAGAGGATTTCGCATGTGCATTGATTACCGAGCGCTCAACAGAGTAACAGTGAAATCGCGGTACCCCATCCCCCGCGCCGACGAACTGATCGACCAGCTGCGAACAGCACGGGTATTTTCGAAAATAGACTTACGGGCGGGTTACCACCAGATTCGGGTCGAACCATCAGACTGCGCCAAGACAACATTTAAAACTAGGTACGGGTCATTCGAGTACACGATGATGCCTTTCGGGCTGACCAACGCGCCTGCAACATTTCAGATGACCATGAACGAGGCATTTAGGCCACTTTGAGGAAAGTAGAACGAGAATGAATGACTATGGAATGGAAGTGATACAAATATGCAACCCTAGAAATGTGTACCCCATATGAGCTACCCCACTATAGCCTACACAAGATTATAATTTGACACACCCCCATAGGCAAAGTGGGGGAGAACAAGGGGTCACAAGACAGTCAAGCAAAGCAAAGAAAAGCTCAGGGTGGATCACAAAGTCACCACACATTCCGAGCACAAGTTCAAGGCCAGAAGGCCAGTTCACATGCAGGAGCACATATATATATAAGAGGCTAAGCAAGCAAGAGTATATATATGTGACAGTACAAGCAAGGTCAAGAAGTGAGCAAGTGAGGCAAGATAGGCACAAGGCCGAGCTGAGTACAGAAGCGCTGATGATCACAAGGCGCAAGCGCCTTGGTGAAAACATCAGCAGTGTTGGCCTCAAAGGCCACGTACGCAAGCCGCAACTGACCACGCTGTCAAACATCATATATGTTATACTTGTGTAGGCTACAGTGGGTTAGCCCATAGGGGGTACACAATTCTAGGGTTTACTACTTGTACTCTTTTCACTTCCAATTGATCCATTCCTGTTCGCTTATTCTCACATGGTATAGAGCGGGTCCTTCTACGGACCGTTTTTTTTTTGGGCCCACCGAAGCGCCCCCCGAGGCGCGATCTTTTTTTTTAGCGACCCCTCGGGTCGCCATTTCCTTCGCGGCCCCGCCCCGGCTTCTACGCGGCCCCGCCCCGGCTTTCACGCGGCCCCGCCGACGGCTTTGTCGCGGCCCCGCCCAGGCCCTTACGCGGCTCCGCCGCCTGCTCTCACGCGGCCCCGCCCCGGCTCCTTCGCGGCCCCGCCGCCTGCTCTCGCGCGGCCCCGCCCCGGCTTCTACGCGGCCCCGCCCCGGCTTTCACGCGGCCCCGCCGACGGCTTTGTCGCGGCCC